GTGGTATATTTATACAATGGAATACTATTCAGCCATAAAAACCGACAATATAATGCCATTTGCAGCAACATGAATGTTCCTGGAGAATGTCATTCTAAGTGAAATAAGCCAGAAAGAGAAAGAAAAATACCATATGAGATCACTTATATGTGGAATCTAAAGACCAAACCAAACCAAAACAAACCAAAACAAAACATAAATACAAAACAGATACAGACTCATAGACATAGAATACAAACTTGTGGTTGCCAAGGGGTTGGGGGGTGGGAAGGGACAGACTGGGATTTCAAAATGTAGAATAGATAAACCAGATTATACAGTATAGCACTGGGAAATATATACAACATCCTGTGGTAGCTCACAGTGGAAAAAAATGTGACAATGAATATATGTATGTTCATGTATAAGTGAAAAATTGTGCTCTACATTGGAATTTGATATAACATTGTAAAATGACTATAACTCAATAAAAAAGTTAAAAAATTAATGATTTATTATTAATATGTTTTCATATGATTTAAGAAGACATACTACACTTTCTTGCTTATCCTTCTGATACACTTTTAGAGGAAAATTTTAGTACTATGAATTGAGTAATAAAAATACATGAAAATCTAATTTTTGGTAGCATATTAACTGATAATGTTCCATATAAAAAAAGAAAGAAAACTCCTTTAAGCCTTAGTACCATGCTTCCATTTGGTTTAAAGCGAACTCATCTCATATTAGTCATTTAATTTCCTTTCCTAACTCTAAGGTTTCAGAAAGAATTCACTGAAGGGCTCTAAAGAAATTGTTTATATTTGAAACTTAATGCATCAATATAGAGCACTAAAAAGAACTAAATGTAGAAAAATCAATTCACAGTTTAAAGTTAGTGTAAAAGCATCTTTAAAATCTGAGATCTAAAGAGATTTTCTGCATTTAGAAGTAGATTTTTCTAATGTCTACTCTTCAGTCTTTACCACAGCCTATAAGATGCTGCATGCAGTAGCCTTTGCCTCTCTATACAACCCAGTCTCCTGCCTTGCTATGCTCCAGTTACTCTGATCTTTCGGATCCTAGAACAAATAAAGCTCTTTCCTGTATCAGGACCTTTGCATGTAGTGTTCTCCCTGTTTGGAAGATTCTTTCACATGTTTTCACATGTGAACCTCATCTTCCTCCTTTAGGTTAAATCTTAAATGACACGTCTGCAGAGAGAGCTGCTCTGGTCCTCCAATCTCCTTCACTCTCCCTCTGTTCTTCTCTACTTTGACACTAGCTTGTTTCCTTCAAAACATTTTCAATGATTTTATTATTCTACATTTAATTAATCATTCTCCTTCATGGAATGTAAATTCTATAAGGGCAGGAATTTTGACTATTTTATTCATCACTGTAACCTCAGTGCCTCTTTATTACAAGCTTACCCTATGACAGGCATTAAAATGTATTTGTTGAGTAAATGAATGAAATCATACACATTGACAACCAGCTTTTTTTGGGGGGGACAAAAGGTAAAACTCTGAAGTTAGTAGAACTACTGGCATTTTTATTTTAAAAAAAGTTAAAAAATATTTAATGACTCCAACCTTTGGCAATAATAAAGTTACCTTTTAAAGAGCTAGTAGAATGAAAAATCTTTGGACTAGAAAGCAGATCTAAGTTTTTAATTGAACTTTGGCACTTACTAGCTACGTGATCTGGGGAAGTCACTTAACTTCTATGAGGCTTAGTTTCTTCATTGAGAAATGGGGATAAACAGTAAATATTCTACCAAGAGTTGCTGGAAATATCAAATAGGTAATATGTGTCAAAATACTTTACAATATAGAATTCTGAAAGAAGATGATAATAATTATGATTGTGGCATTTTAAAGGTTCATTTTTTCAATACTGAATAAATTCTGGTATTATTTTGCATTTTTCAAGTCTTGCTTATGTGTTTTATTCAACCAGAGAGTATCAAAATTTAAAGATTCACTAAAAGTAAACATCTTAAAAAGTCCTTGTTAAAGACATGTTCTCTAAAATCTTTTAACTAAAATCTTACCTACTCTAAGAAAGCTGCCTTTATACTATTTTTCCTCTTCATGGGCTTGATCTTTTATTTACTTATTCTTTTTATCCTACTAAGTTAATATAGGAAGCATACAACAAGGAAGAAAACTTTTCATTGTAAATTGTTAATTGTAAAAATATTAACAATGTATAATAAGGAAGATAGGGAAGACTGTAACAATAAAACCTAGATTAGGGCATACCCCTTAAATTTTGCACAAAATGTGGCTCTTAGCTATCTGTTAGCCAAGATAAAAGTGAAATGGAATGTATTACATAGCTCTTCAAATCTAAAAAATGAAGTAAATTTTTCCTAGTTCTGAATTCTGAAAGGAATTTATACCAGAAATTCTTTTTTAAAAAGAGAAGAAAAAAAGGAAAAACTAGACATATGTTTTGTTTACCAACATTCAATAAAGAAGTAAATGATTTTTACGGTGATATAGGTCACTGCTCTTGCAGGAGGAACAATAAAGTTATGTTGTCTTTGAAAGAGGATCTGCCTTTATAAGTTGATAGATGGAATGGATAACCTATAATTCTAAAACATGAATTAGGGGGTTTAATAAGAAAAAATAAAGTAAAAATGATGGCTGATTTGCCTGATTGTGGAGGAAAAAAATAATAAAAGACAAACAGAGTGCATAGTAACTTACAGAATGCTTAAAATAAAATAAGCTTTGTCTTGGTTTACTAAAACCATTCAATTAATGAGATTTCAAACAATCCTAAGCCCTTTCCTAAATCCTAGCCTGTAACTGATACTTTGGTTATTCTTTGTAACAACACCTACTAACTTAATATGCAGGATCAAAATATAGCTCACCTAGACATTAGATTACTTACATAATAAATGATTCAAGAAATTACCAAAGAAATAGCTATGGATCCAGAATTCTTATGGGCAAAAGACTCTACAGACATATTCAAACCAATTAGAACACAGCACGTAATATAAATGGATTCTCCCTCGATTATCATAAACCTTTTTTTTATAAACATGAAAATGTAACATAGCACATGTCAAAGAACCATTGCCTATCAAAGTCAATACCATAACTGAATTGCCTCCTTGTCTTAGATCACTTACAAGTATCAGTCAAAACTAAATCAGTCAAAATATCTTCAGATTTTAAATGAATCCTTTAAATCAAATGTTACCATATATATATATCTCCCTATCATTAATGGAAACACTCAACATTTTTATACTAATTAATTCTGAATTTTTACTTTCTCCTTCTTGTCATAACATCTTCTGATGTAATACTTTCAATCCAACAACTCTATAACCCTTGTTGAATGAGGAGAATCTCTTCATTATGATTCTGTAAATCAAGACATATCCATGCCCAGAACAAAATTTTTGGATGCTTCAATACCAAATTCCAACTTAATACTGTTGTTATTTGTTAATAGGGTTTTGTTGATGGGGCTTATATTAAAAAATAAAAAGGACAATACCAGGTTCGACATACAATAAGTAGCCAGGTCTCTTCTGTAAAATCTATTTCCTTATCAGGAAACAGCTTAGCTCAAATGATTAAATTATAGTTCTCTCTAAGGCATATCAAATTACTAACAGGCTAAAATACATGTAAATTAACAGCGAGTATACTTTTAGAATAACTGGCTTTTCAAAGATATTATAGAAAAATGGTGTTTTTGCACTTTCGCAAGTATCCTTTAAAAATGAACAATTATATGATACTAAAATAATTGCTGTCATGAAGGAAGAGACTGTAAAAGAAGTTCTATAGAAGCTAATATACTATACTATAGATACCATAGAAATACTTTAGAAGTATTACAGAAATACTAAAGAAATACTTTTAACAGATTATTATACTAAACGGACTACTCTGACTAAAGTCCTTATGTAAAAACATTGTATGAAGTAAGAATAACAAAATAAAATCCATGGAAAAATTCAAAGATTCCATTGTAGATACACAAAATTTGGCTTGCCAAATTCTGAAAAGACACAACAAGCACATTAGGTTATAAGAACCATGAGTATTAAGATCTGGCAAAACCAGAATGGCCACCTGGACACTAGATAAAACCTTCCACGAAACAACTCATTCCAATAAGGACAAATTGGCTATAATAGTAAACACTAAGGAAAAATCTTTCTAGGATAATAAAGGATAAAGTCACTCCATGCTTTATCTGTAAGTAAATTAACCTGGAAAAACTGTGGGACGTGAAATGAGACTATGCTCTAAAAGACTCTCTGAGCTTTTCCCAATTGAATTTGTACAGTTGCCTCTCCCGCCATGGTTTATGAATATGTAGCACTAATAATAATAATACATTTATTTTCAGAATGGATCAAAATATTTGCCTGTTGCAAGGCTACAACCATCATGACTGCCTAGGACATTCCAAATTACTGATCCCATAACAAGGGACACATTTAACTAGAACAGTTATTCATAAATTTGAGTGAGGCTCTGCTCCTTACTCAAAACGCTTTTTGTCTTTATGATTCCAAAATCTCTGGGAAAATAATAAGGGCCTTAACAGCACTGGAAAAATATATCCTTTAAAGATCCTAAAGTGAGGTTTTCCAGAGAACCTCCAGAAGAATTAACTGTTAAAAATCTTTCAATAAGCATATGACCATATGAAGAAGCAGCTTCCTCTCGAGACCACTGGAGCAAGGTTCTTCTACAGGTCACACTCCTCTCTGCACACTCTTGTTTATTCAGAGCTTTCCTCTTTACTGATTTAAGGGTGTGTATGTCTGACCTGGCCTATCATGTTCTCCTTACTAGTAACAATGACTTGCCAAAGTCTAGGCTTTAAGGAAAATGTGTTTGAACTATGAAAAATATATAATGCAATACTTAACTATATGTCAAAACACCAAGAAACAATATACCCACAGTTCCACAAAGAATGATTATATGTCTTGTGCAACTCCTATGTGGAAGTCAGACTATTTAATGCCAAATCAGAATCCAGGTAAGTTATTCTGTGCAGCTACTAGATAGGCCCCTCCAAGGATGTGACTCCCCAGCACCCTCTGTGGGCTACATGTCCATACATATACTCCGAAAGAATAAAGCTTTTCTGGAAAAAGACCCCTGAAGATAGTAAGCCCATTCACAGTAGTTACACCACTGCAAATGATCACCACAAAATTGTTCCTTCATTTTGGTTGACACAGTAATTAATGTAGCCTAAGCCCTGAGGGCACAACAAGCCAGTTTAAATTCTTTAACTCAAGCAGTTATAGATTAAAGGCTTCGATTTTTCTTTTGATCAATCAGGGAGGAGTCTGCACTAATGCTAATACTTCATTCTGTACCTGGATTAACACTAGAACAAGTAAAACCATCTACGAATGCAAAAGGCTATACAAAGTTAGACTTGGGGAGTCCTCAGGACTCTTCTTGGCCAAGTCTGGAAAACCTAGAGTCATGATTCTGGAGTGCCTCCAGCCCTTTCTTATAATACTTCAAGTTGTCCTTGTCTCAGTTTAAATGTTATCCAGAATCTTAAAAATGTTTCTGTATAGTTACTCTCCCAGCAGATGACTTAAAGACATAAACAGGATGAAATCATGATATATGCACAACCTGAAAATTAAATCTTCACAGATGAAACCTCTTCAAAGAGATTCAACAACAGTGGTTGAGTTAATCTTTAATGGTTTCTTCTATGGCTTTAGCTGAATGAAAATCAAAAGGAAAGACTGGGAATAAAAAAGTTTCCACAAACTTATGAGAAAACTGATCATTCTGTTGTCATGGTAATGAGCAGTCATCAGAACATGTTTTAAACCTGTTCAACTGATCTGCAACAACTCATCTCAATGAACACACTTTTGGAACCAGCCAGTGTCAGCTCCTCACTTCTGAAAGCCCAGGCATCAGGGACAGACTCATGTAAATAAATATACCACCGAGTGCCAACCAATCAACAGTCTCACCCAAGTAGTCATGCTTCCCCTAAACCCTTTGTGAATACGATGAACATTCTGCTTTGCATGAAGAGACTGCACCTGACCAGCATAGCTCTCCCTTGTAGTAAGCAATCAGTTCAGCCTTGTCTTTTCACTTCAGTTATTGAGTGGTAGTCTCATCATCCTTTGACATTTTCATTGCATAATTTTTTTTGGAACTTTCAATGATGTGAATGTATTATATATTCAATAAATAAAATTTAAATAAAAATATTTTTACCTCAGAAACCCGTCTTGCCTATGATTTCAAAGGTCAGTGCCATCAGCAAATGCTATGTCTTAATTTGCTCTTAATGAACTCCTCTATTAAATGAATGTATGTGCAGCATACACAGTATTATTCAAAGACTGGATACTGATTTTGCAGGATGCTTACAAATGTGGGATTCACTAAATGTTAGGTTAAAATACGATGCAAAGGTTACTATAACTATTCACCTCCTATTAATAAAAGTGGAAAAAACATAGAGAACTTCTCAAAACAGATTTATGAGAGATTTCAGATCATGTCAAAACAAGGAACTAAACCAAAATCTCAATACATCCAAAAGGCAAAATCTGTTGATGCTACTGTTACTGTACTAAGTTGATTTATTTGTAGAAGGGGGGTATTATTTTTAATTTTAAGAATATAAACAAATGTATTGCTATCTAAATGTGTGGCCTGAAACTCTTAAATCCTTTACTTTAAACTTTATTGAAGGACACAAAATATAAAATTTAAGAAACAGGCTTAATTTTTATTATCCCTCTGGTTCATTGTGAGTTTTATTCAACTTTTATACTTATCATGTTAATAAATAATAACAATGATAGTGAATACATACACATTGCTTTATATGAGCAAAACACTGTTCCAAGTGTTTTTACAAATATTAACCCAAGGAGTACTCTTTGTAAAAAGATTAGAATTCCAGTTCTCATACAGACACATTCTCCTTATTCTGAGAGAGTCTTTATTTTATTAGGACAGAAAGTCTCCATATGGAAATGAAATTTTAGCAACTCAAATAGCCACTGCTAACTAAGAAATATAATTTTTAAAATTACCAACCTTTTTCCTGCATATCATATGCTCACATTCCTTTGTTTCTGAATTATTTAAATGTTGCAGTAACTAAATTTTAAGGAAGAATTTGCACAAACTAACAGAAAAACATGGCTGCACCCAGGATTCATTCATATATTGAAGATAAAGAATTTGAGAGACCAATTCAAAAGTCTTGTATCAGGAAAATGTTCATGGGGTAAAATATCATGTACATTGAACCCACTGCAAACGTTTAAGATTGCTTTACCTCTGTCAGTTCCAGAGCTTTATTGTAGCCCATCGAGTGTAGAGTTACCCAAAGATCACGAGGATCTCCCTCACGATCGTTGGCTTCCATTAGGTTCAGATCCATAAAGCCCTGCCTTGTTAGTTCATTCTTCTTTGTATCAAAATTTTCTGTCAAAACAACCAAAAGTTTCTTTCTTAATTTTAAAATTATGTATTTAATAAAATGTCTATTATATACTATTATTCATAAATGTTTGTTTTAAAGGAGGCCTTATGAATCTGTGAGCAGTGTAAAAGTGAAATAAGAATGGCTCAAAACATGTTTGAGAGATAATGTTCTCACAACTCAGCGTAAGCACCATCACAGTGCATGATTTAGTTTTTCAACAAAATCTGAAGTTATAAATAATGCAAATATATTCCAAAATTAGAGGAAATTTTAATTTTTTCTAGGTAAATTCTAACCTGCCTGCTTATCTAGAGTATATATTGATATATATTTTAAAAAGTAAAATGCTTCATATTTATTTGCCACCCAACTGAATTTGATGTAATACATACCCCCCAAACTATTGGTGTTTCAAAAAGGGAGGTGTGGATGGTGCCAGATTTAAGGAGACTTCTATATACTTAGCTGCTCTGATTTAAACTGAACTGTCCCCTTGTCCGTAAAAAACTGTTAGATAATGGGGAACATTATGCAGTCCCAGACAAATCTAAATGTGTCTATTTTAACGTTACTTAAAAGCAAAAATTCATGTAGAAGTATCTAGATATATATAATTCTTCCATTTGTCTATAATAAAGACAAAAAACAGCTACTCACTTTGGATTATGTTCTTTTAACTGCCCTACAACAAAGAAATATTTTATTTTTCAACTCCTATCTGTAATATACCCAAAGCAAATGGGTACTTTTACCTGAGTTCCCTTTTGTATACATTATTGTGAGGAAAGAGGCAGAGACAGAACTGTTTAAAACTGGTTGGCTAATAAACAGTTTAAAATGTTTAGAGTTTGTAAAGTGACTCATAAGTTTTGTAAGAAAAAAAGTAAATGTAGACTAAATTAGATCATAGAAATGGTAGCCTAAAATGGAGGCTGGAGTTACTATGTAGTAAAGAGAGATAAAAAATTAATATTTGATACACAAAACAAAGAAATTATTACTTTCAACAAAAATGTATCTAGATATCATGTTATATAAACTATCAATAACAAAACTACTGTTAAAACTTAAAATTATCAATCTTCCATTAATTTTTTAAAGTTTATTAATACCCAACTTCAAGACTTATTTTAAAGCGACGGTAATCAAGACAGTGTGGTATTGGTGAAAGACAAGACAAATAGATCAGTGGAATACAATAGAGAACTCAGAAAAAGACCCACAGAAATATATTCAACTGATATATGACAAAGATACAAAGTCAATTCAATGGAGAAAGGATAGTCTTCTCAACAAATGGTGTTAGAACAACCGGACATCCACATGCAAAAAC